TCAAAACCCTTTGCGATCTCCGCCATCGATTACGCCACCATTTCTCCATTCTAAATATTTTTATCCGTCTCTTCGAATACCGATAGCTTTAACGGTAATATTAATTTCCCATAAAGATCGCGTTAAAAATGGCGAAGAACTGGTGCGCTAGGAAAGGGTAGTTTGGTATCTTTGGACGAAGGCGTCGAAGAGAGGAAGGGGAAGAAGAGGAGGAACGTCGATTGACGAAAGCGGAAAAAAAAAAAAAAAGGCGTCTCGTTGACTTTTCGTTGCCGTAAACGTCACATATACCACGCGTGGTCAGGATGCGTGGCGCGTTTTCGCAGAACCCGTTTCGCGAAAAGCGAATCGCCGCGATGAACACGTTGCGACGATTATTTTACGAGAATAGGGGCCGAGAGGGAGCAAAGTTCAAGGGGAAACGAAGATGGATTTACGATCGCGGAATTCGTCATGCGAAATTAAACGAAACATTTTTAACGGAGAATCGAGTTTCGGGATTAAGGAGGAACAACGTATCGAAATCAATTGGAAGATAAGGGAAAAGAAACAGAGAGGGGAGAACGAGGGGAAGAAGGACGGACGCGTGGAAAATTTAATAAAGCGGAAATAGAAATATGAGAATTTCACGCGAAGGGAATGCAATTCAAAGAAGCAAAGAACTTTATATCGTTTACGATCTTGGCATTTCTCTCTGTGTTCTCCTGTATATACGCGTGTACACGCGAACGGAGCGGCGGCGCGGTAAGCGTGACGATCGTTTCAAAAAAATCGAATCATAAAAATTTCAAAAGTGCAACGGCGAATATTATTTATTTTCGCGCGCATTCTCGACACGCGATACGTGTAATTTTCTTTTTAAACGAATTAAACGAATTTTTAAAAAGGGATAGAATTGTAAATTAAAACGCGATCGTAAATGGGAATCGTGAAATATCGCTTTATTCTCAATCGGGACGTTTAATTTCCAATTCGAATATACGCGAAAGCGCGTATACACGGAGGAGAGAAGAAGAGTTTTTGATTTCAGCATTTTATACATTCGATACGTGAGTCATCGTTCTGTTAGAAGTATAGTTAGACTCGGCAAACCGGTCCTGCGTTCTTTAATTTCAAACCAAGTATCACGCGTTTCAATGTGTGTAAAACTTGAGTGTATACTTTGTGCGCAACTGCTATCACCGGCCTCCCGTTTTTACATTTTTTTTTTAACGATTTCCGGTTCGCCGTGAAAAGTCCCCCTATCCACGTCGCATAAATCACCACGTCTTAAATGTAAACCGATAATTACAGTTATTTCCCGATGCCACGGTTTCGTTCCACCTCGCGCCAATTTCGCCTCCAAATTGATATCTCGTCGTCACTGACGGCAAAGCAAACCGGATATCGAGCGGATTTCGATTCGATTTAAAAGTAACGCGATCTCGTAAACCAATCGACGCGGCTCCGTTCGATCGACCCGACGATTTTTCTTCTCTCTTTTCCTCCCTTCCTCATTCCTTTTCTTCTCGCACGAAAATTTACATTTTTCCGCTATAATTTATTAGATCTCGACTCGATTCACGATGGAAGCGAATCTATCAATCGCCAGAGACGCCACAGATCGAAGGAGATTTTTTTTTTTTGATCGAAATCGGAGAATCGGAGAAATCGTCGAAAACTATAATAAATCTGGTGCAACGCTCGGCGATTGAAAATTTGCCAAGAGTAATTGGATATAACGCGATATGGCGATCGAGATCGTTGATGCGTCGAACGACGGAAGGAAGGATGAAAGGAGAAATGACACCGGGTTGACGAGATGGTAATGGTAAACACGATGCAGACGTAAGGTGGGAGAAGGGAGAAATGGCGTTGCCATGTCGACCAACACACGACGCCGTGGCGCTCTATTGTCACGATGACGTAACTTTGCGTGTTTGCGTCACACAGGGTGGTGGTAGACGAGGAGGGAGTGGTTTAGGCGTACTTGTAGGGCAGGGATGCGTTACGTAATCGACATCAAGACCAGCTCGTATCGATCGCGCGGTTTTCGCGGCGGAAAGAAACCGCGATTAGAGCGATCGTGTGTCGCCAACTCGAGAGAATCCGAAGAGAACAGATCTCGTCAAATTATTCGTATCCGAGCTCCTTCGTTTTCCACTTTTGTTTTCGAGCGCGCCCTTAACCGAGTTCGAGCCTGGATATAAATTCACGGATCGAGACTCACTCTCTCTCTCTCTCTCTCTCTCTC